TTTATTCGTATTTGCGATAGAAATAATTTGTAAAAAGGATTAGAAAGAAGTAAATCTATATTTTTTATGGTTTTATTGAAATTTTATTTAAGTTTCCACATGTCCTCCATCATTAGCAATACAAAGGGTAATACGATTTTGCAGTTCACGGAAAACATTTGCCAACTGATTTACAGTAATGCCTGAAATCACATTAGTTATTTTAGCTAGACTTAAAACTAGGTACATTAAACTTTGTAACATTTTTTACAGATTATTTCTATTGCAAATTCAAATAAAGTTATGATCGTTTTAAAGAGTACACGAACTTTATAGACACCCTATATAAATACTGATAACCTCTTACTGCAGAAATTTAAACAGAAACCATTCTCGCACTTCTCTTCTGATTTAATGCTTTGCCACATACAATTTTCAAAAAAAAATTAAATGCAACTTATTCGCCATCTTCTGTTTTCTTCTCTTACTTCTTTTCACTAAAGTCCCAGTAATCCTCTGCGTACTTGGAGGCAATTTATACTTGTTGCTTCACATGTTAGAAGCAATTTAAATAATAGGTTGAACGTATTTCTCTTATTCGATTAGTGCGTTCGTGTTTCCGTGGGATATGTATAGGCTCACATAATTAAAGTTGGTATTTTCTTCAGTTTTGACTTAAAACAGTTCTCCGAAGCTGGCGTTAACTTTCTGTTGAAAAGGTCCTAAGATTTGGATCGTTAACAAGAGAAATAGCCCCAGAATATAAACTACGAATTGGATAGGTCAAAATCAAGGTTATTCAGAAAATGAAATGCACGGGAAGTGTCATATCCAACGACGGAATATGTGACAAAGGCGCATTTGATCAACAAAAGATGCCTTCCAAAAGTTAAGCAACATATTAAGAAACAGGAAAACGTCGTTAGAAACAAAGAAAAATGGTAGAATTGCTGTATAATATAAATCCTTTTAAATAGGATTAAATATCAGACAATTTCCACACAGAGACTTCAGATAATCAGTCAGTTATGTGCCATGCGTGATACACGCTTAGGCGATCATACTGTACTGTACTACTGTACTGATGCGGCATTCACCCTGGGCGGATTGAGCCGGCTTCTTCCTGTTATGAGAAGAAGATTCTTGGGATAAATTACAGAAGTAGGGTACCCAGGCCTACTCGAATAACGTTCTTGCATGCCGAGGGATTCCCACAGACGCAGAGACAGGAACGACCAGAAGCCGCCGGTTACCGATGCAGACGCTCCTTGGATTTTCACCAGAGCCCTTGTTAGCCGGCGTGTGTGTCAGACCTGTCCGCCTTGGGTGGCTCTACCAGGAACGAAGTTCCGGGCGGCATAGCTCTGACACTACCGTTTACCCCCCCCACCGACTATGAGGTAAGGGTTGGACTTTGGGGGCTTACAGTACCAGGTGTTCCCAAGCGGTCCCCCATCTAAGTACTGACCTGGCTCTACGATGCTTAACTTCGGTGATCGAACGAAAACCGGTGTTTCAGCGTGATTTGACCGTAAGCCTTAGGCGATCATATCGATACATGACTGACGAGGCAGATTATTTACCACAGTAGGTTGCCATTTCTTTCTGCGATAGTCCATTTGCCATCCAAGGCTATAGAATCCGGTCTGTCTTGCTATTTACTCAAAGCTGAGGAAAGATGAAGAGAATTTATACCTTTGTCAAGGGTATTAGCACGTAAGTGAATGTAATGGATTCGACTGGAATTCGAACTCGGTTCCCCGTTTTCTCAATCCAAGCCGCTATCCATTACTTCTCCCACGTGTTAAAATCCAAGCCGCTATCCATTACTTCAGCCACGTGTTAAAATGTGGAGAAAAGCAAAACATCACAATATCATAGAATCAAATCTCCACAGAAGAAATGTCCTTGTCGCACAAACATTTTGAATTACATTTCAATCCTAACCACAGTAAATTTAAGATGTTCGCAGAAATAGAAGATATACGAACATTCACACAAATATTACAAAATGAAATTAAGAAAGTTATTAAAAAAAATAATGAACAATAAAGCATCACTCAATATTGAAGCTAAAATTCTGAAAATAGTTTGTTTAATTCCCGAATTCAATAACGAGTTTCTTTATTTTATGAAAGAAGTCTAGAACCAAAGATGCATCGCCAAAAAGTGAGGTCTATCACGCATTATGAAAAAAGAAAGGTACTTTTCATGTCCCTCACACATAGAGAGGTATCTCAATTAGATCAAACACGGTGTAAATATTTCTTTCTATTTGCCGTGTCTTTTCAGGACGTAGTCAATCACGGCTCTCCACTTCTCCCTCTATCCCCTGCAGTTCCCAACAAGTTCCTTCTCTCTGCTTCCCCTCCCTCAGACCACGTTCTGTCACCCACTTGCTTAAAGCCGCTAGTTATGTCATGCATTATTTTCCCGTCTCTCTTTTCCCTCTATCCGACCCGTGAGTATCAGATTCTTCAGGCCTTCCTACCTCATTAATGTCCCAAGAACTTCAGTTGCCTCTTCCAGATGTTAAGTATGAGTCTCTTCCTTGTTTATATCCTCTCTAATACCACGTCGTTGTTCACACGTTCGGTCTATGGTGCAAGTATTAATGAACTTTATAACTACGTTCTCATAGTTTACCAAAAGTCAAATCCTCATAAACCAATTTAGTTTACGTTCTAATAAGAGATGCATTGATGGCATATTATCTCTCCGATAGGAAACTGTGTACCTGTTTTGTCAACTTCACAGCGGCATATGAGCACCTCAAGAGAGACTTCATCTTCTCATCCATTAGAAACCACCTTCTGTGTTCTAATTCCACTGAATGCGATAATTTAATCGAAGAACTCTATCGATCTACATATACTTACATATCTGGCGAGGACTACAATACATAAACATTTCAAACCTCATGAAAAGAAAGAAATAATAATCTCAGGCTATTTACCATTTTCCTAGATTATGGCATTGACCATTTAAGCATTTTATTCCACATCCCAAACGAATAGAAGACACAGATCCTGCTTTCCCTACCGAGACCAATGTACTGATGATGACATGGTCTATATTGATGACATAGGGATTCATAATTGAAGTAAAAATGATCTTGAACAGAAAATCAACATTCTTCCAAGAAATAGGACTCAAGATAAACCTTTCCAAAACAGAAACTGTGGTTTGGAATGAGAATAAAAGCAGTGATGTCACACACCATGAAGCCATCATAAAAAAAAAATCAGAATGTGGAATTAGTAAATATTAAACACTCGAAATATGCTGGCGCATGTCTCACTTAAAACAAATTTCGTATAGAAAAAAAAAAGAAGGAATTTGAACCTAGAATAGGATGTGCCAAGAGCTTACTCCCAACACCGCAAATTGCTACAAACCTAAAACGTCAACCTGAAAATTTGAATCATGTTGAATGGATAAGTTAAAACAAATTTAGTAAAGGAGGGAAGAAAATTGAACCTAGAATAGGCTGCACCAGTGGTAGTTTTTTTTAACACCGCGAATTGTTTCAAAACCAAAACATCAACCTGAAATCATGAGTCATATACTTAAATATCCTCTTAAGATTGAGTCTTTCAACTGGTTGAAATTAATGGCGTCAAAGCCGTTCAGAAATATCTAAATGCAGAGCTGTATAAAACGATTTTCTACGATCAAAGGTTTTGAGCGAGTAAACCCTGAAATTCTTGGCATGAAACATGTTTCTTTGTACTTTGAGGAGTGACGATACAAAATCACAAACTGTACCAAATAACAGAAACTAAATCACTTTACGACAACAAAGGGAATCAACAGCTACAATGGATAGCACATGGAACTTGAAGAGAAAATAATTATAAAATCAAAATGTTGATATCCCATACTACTTCAAATAAAAGGTTGGGAAGGAAACCGCCCATCAATACTGGAAGGAGCGATAACAGTTACTGGACAAGGAAAAGATTTTATAAATTTCAACCAAAATAGTACTGTCTGACAGTCAATGAATACTAAATATTTCCTTGTAGGGAAACGGCTAATATTTCCATTAACATTTATCTTTAACCTCCTGCTTGCTCTATACCATTTTTTCAACCTGACCCTTGATACTCTGTATTATTCATGACCTTGCACTTTTCCTTATTCATCTCCTTACTCTCCTCTTTAATCTTAACCTTGCTCTCTAATCTTCTCCTTGCTTTTAACCTCCTTATCTTTAACCTGACTATCCAAATTAATATCATCTTTACAATACGCTCCATCTTAGCTATCAATTTTTGCTTCCTGCCTAATCTTGGCCTTCATCGCTCTCTTATTTTCCATATTGTTCGATCTGTTTTGACTCTTTTTTTTATTTCCATCACGTCCTCACTCTACGCGTTGATTTCCTCAGCTTTATTTCTCAATCTTGCATTACGGCGTTTTAACTGTGCTGTCCACTTTATTCTTCGTCTTTGCATAAACAACTGCTTGCATCTTCATTCCTTATATCAATCTCCATCTGCGTTTATTCTCATCACGCTATTTTTTTCTTTGTTTATTTTCGAATATACTCTTGCTCTCGGCCCAGATCTAAAATCAGATTAGGGCTAAACGACAAGACATTTTTTTTCTATTATTATTGGACGTTCTGTATAACAGGTTACTTTTACCCCAAATGTAGATGCGGGTGGCGAATCAGATACCAAAAACTGTCTTAAATGACACAGGAGCAGATATTTACGAGTCAGAAGAAAGTCGTTTAGATAAAATCAGTAGCAAATTATAGGGTCAGAAATGAAGGAAATAAAAAGAAAAAGAAAAAAAAAAAAAGGATTTTCGCAGGCGAAAAAAAAAAAGCACTGCAGAAAGTCAATTTATTGCTTTTAATAGGTGGGGCCCAGAAATGAACGTAAATCAGAACGGAACACCGCCCCCGAGCACAAATAGTTTATGACGATAAAATATAAGAATCTTCACAACTAATAAAACGCATTCAATTTTCTTTTTCATAATCTATGCTTATTATCTTGGTAGTGGCGCTAATCACCGGAAGGTGATATGACGTCATTCACTGGAGATAAGTTTATAACTTGCAAAATCGTTAGTCAGTAAAGGCATTTGGTCAATTTACGTCGTCTTTTGACGCACAACTTACCCACAAAAAACTTACGAAACCTTCTGGTTGGTCTCTATTTTAAGAGTGCTCAGAAAAAAGATTTTTTTTTTACCTTGAGAAAAACAAGAATTTTTTTTTTTTAATTTGGAATAAATAGAAAAAGTTATAAATGTAACATGTTTCGGCTTAATTAAAGCTTCACCAGACAATGAGATATGGAGAAAAATAGAAAGAAAAAATTATGGTATTTTTACTTTTAGAGATTTGGAGGAAAAAGTATGAATTTTGCACTTTTCATATGCGACTTTTGGAATATATATATATATATATATATATATATATATATATATATATATATATATATATATATATATCATAATTCATCCCCCCAGAATATATATATATATATATATCACTGCCGAATGGCTACAATATCAGCATTCCGATCAAGAGACCCAGTTTAGTTTCTTACCGCGGTATATTTGACAAGGAGGTAATATCGACTAGGGGAGACAACCCAAGCATCGTTGGGAAGTGCCTCCAAACCATAACACGGTTGATCCAACCATTGCGAGGGTAGTTATGTCGGCGGAACTATTCGGAATCCGTCGATGATTGTGTTGGCACGAAGTCACAAATCATCGTGACCGAGGTTTTGCGGTTACTGGCCTTGTTCAAACTGTTGTTCACGCCAGATTATTCACTCTTCCCCAGAAAGTATAATTAAGATCTTCTGAACGTAGATGCTGTTTAACCCACAGGTGAGCACACAAATATGCCTGAGCAGGCGTCTGAAACAGGGATTAATTAACCACTTTGGCAACGAAATGCACTTAGATACATGCACATACATATGATGATGGACTTCATGACGAACACGTATTTGTGTATTCGATGTCTTTTAAAGCCAGCCTGAGACCCACACAACATTCAAAATACAGGACAGGGAGTAGCACCCCTCGTGAATGCTGCTGGAATGGTAGAGCAGTGGTTAGTCATCTCTTTTAATGCATAGAGGTTCAGTGTGTAACTTCTCCAAAAATTTGTAATGTATTTTACGCACACCCTCCTAGATTATGAGGAATTTTAGGCCAGATAGCTGTTGACTCTAGACCTGAAGTAACTAAGATTGTAGTGATCGGGGAAACATTCACTCGGGAGTCTGGTCCGCAAAGTAACAGTTGTGAGGGAGAAGATGTATAGATAGATAGAAAGATATAAGCAGATAGATAGATATATATTAAAAGAATGTGTAAAGAATAGAGAGAAAGAAAGATATGAAGAGAATGTGAGAGATAGATAGATAGATATATATAAACAGAATGTGCGAGAATAGATAGATAGATATAAACAGAATGTGAGAAGATAGATAGATAGATAGATAGATAGATAGATATTAAGAGAATGCGTAAGGATAGAGAGAAAGAAAGATATGAAGAGAATGTGATAGATAGATAGATAGATAGATAGATAGATAGATAGATAGATAGATAGATAGATAAACACGCGGATTAGAATAGATAGGTAAGTAGGTAGGTGGCTAGTTCCAAAAGCAATTAAAACAGTCTGTCAAGAAACATGACTGCGACCAACCTCGGCTTTTAACACAACACCAATCTTGTTACTAAAATCTTCTAGTCATCTCGTAGTGTTTCTCCGTTTGCCTCCATTTTCAGCAATGTCACTGCATAGCCACATCCTCATCCACCTATTCCCGGTCAAATCTGCCGCCAGCCCTGTCACATGCAGACAACATTACTTGTTATCTTGAATTATTTTTTGGTCTGTCCCATTCACTAACCGTAGTAAAAGTACCTGAATAAATTGGCTTCTGTCTGGTTAGGAAAATTGTACTCTTAAGGTCTTCTGTGTCTCCTTCTAAATAAAAGAATCACACGAGTCTTTATAGTTACATTTGAAGAAACTAACTCGTTTATATTGGCTTCAAATAAATCACTATCTCTCTTGTTTGAAATGAATCTGACTGTAAATAGACTTTTGATAATACGTGTTTCATGTAATTTTTGAAATTACTTTGATCTTCATTTTGTTAATATTCCATGTGCCTAGACATGACAGCGATGAAATGCTCCGTGCCTTGAGCGCTTGTTGGGACTTGACCTCAACTCAACCCCTAATCGGAACTCCTACATTCGATCCATCTCTAAAGATAACGGAAAGATAGTAGGTTCTTGTTGTAATGGAATGTCCCCCTCTCCCTATCGTCTATGTGGACTGACTATATCAGTAGATGTATATAGTGAGCACAGGATATACGTGGGACTTGCTTCGGCAATTAGTTGGAGATTAGTCTCCAGCAAAGCTAGTCGAACTCCCTTCCTTGAAGTCAGAGAAGAACCCAGATGAGGCTATGCCGAATGGCAGTCTCGTCTAGGGTGGTAGACACCTAACCGACCCCGATTTATACAGGGTCTACTGGGGATTTTTGACCGAGACTTCGGACTCCGCTACCCCACGTTAAATTCGGCCTTGTGCCACATCTGACCGCGTGGGGCGGTTGGCAAATATGCTTGTTTCAGAAATTAGTTCAGAGATTCGTCTCCAGCTGAGCTGATCGAACTCTTCGCCTTCGTACAGAGAGCATCCCAGACGAGGCTATGCCGAAGGACAGAGCCTCGTCTGGAGTGGTTGACAACTACCCGACCCCGTTTTTACGTGGTTTACGGGGAATTTTTGCTTGAGTCCACGGGTTCGGTTTTAACCCCGCATTAAAAACGGCATTGTGCCAGATTCTGTCTCGCGGGAAGGTAAAGTAAATATCCATGCTTCGGGAATTACTATCTTTCTTTCATCTACGTGGGTGTTGCTGTTCTCTCACTCGTGTTCCATATTTGTCTGTCTGTGACCTTTTGAAGGGTACAACAGTTCTCTGTATTTATCTCTTCCTCTTGGCCACCATTTTCAAAAGTGTCAGAACAGTCCTAAAATAGCGTTCTGCTGGCATGTCCATTCTTCACTTTCCGGTCTTTATAGAATCCAAGCCTTCTCCTCGTACTTGTGGCTTATTAATTTCTTTCTACCCCACAAACACTGTCCAAATGACGAAACATCAAAAGCCTCTCACTAAACTATCGCCATTTGCATGAAAGGTGATCAGTCGAACGATATTCCTTGATTCCTCCAGTTGAACCTTCACAACAAGATCCGCCATGGCAAGTGGATTGTAGTGAGTCACCCTCATTCCCTATTGTGCTATGTACGGGGTCTAACAGCAAAATTCTTCAAATTGTGTAACAGCATAAGATAATTGTCTATCCCATAAAAATGTTTAATATCTAAAATCACTAAACTAATTGAGTTCCTGTTTTCCAGGGTGACATTTAGCCATCTTGACACCATTTGTCGTAAGAATCACCGACAAACCGTTTGAGTTATAGAAAGGGAACAGGTAAATTCATTTTGCGTCCATCCCACTAGGACTTCCCAACTGAGCAATGGTGAGAGCAAAAAGATTATTCAGGCGTTCAGTAATGGTACAAACATTTTATACTCGTCCATCTTCAAAGTTCATTCAAAGACCATCAAGAGAACGGTGGATAAGTTTAAAAAAGTGGGAACAGTAGAGAGGAAACCTTGATCAGGCACTCAGTAATCATCATTTCAACTAAGAGCAAAATACATTCTTATTGTTCAAAGTAGAGTACAATAATGTTATAAAAATTTTGAAGAATTCCAGTAAGATATCTTTAATCATTTCAAAGATACAATGGTTTAATGCTTAATCTAACAATTGGACAATTTTTACACGATTTGGACAATTTTGCTGTTCCACCCGGTATGTTCACTCGAGCTCCCTGAATCACTGCTTTGTCGAACCGATCTACAAGAGATTGCTTCCCCGATCACTACAATCTTAACCTGTTCAAGTCTGCCGTTAGCCGCTATCTTTTTCACATATCTCCATAAACTATGACTCTTAAACTGTAATCTTCTATATTGAATGGCTCTTGGGCCTTGGATGAACATCAGTATAAAAAAAAAATACTCTATTTTTCCTATTACCGCTATGTCAAGATTGGAACTCGATACTCATCTTGAAATTTGAGTTCTAAATCCTTTACTCACCATTGTAGTAGGTGACATTTTCCATTTGAACAGACATTTGTCTTACAGACGCAACATTGCTAGCCTATCGCTTCTCTATTGCCATTTCCATTGGAAATGACCAGATGAGCTCAAATCTTTAGCGCCACCACTTCAGACGTTTGCAGCTCGGAATGGAATCGTCAGCGGAATTCAATCCCCCATATTTCTTTAGTCTTCCACGGGGACAGCTACTTTGTGGCCCGAACTCCCGCGTGGATGCTCCTCTGTTCACCGCAGTCATCACCTCTTCAAGTTAAGCGCCAAACGCTGTCTATCCTGATAATCTTCACTTCTTCCTACCTTCTATTCGTAACACGTACATCATTCAGTAAGCCTTTACCATGTGTGGTTCTTAAGGCTCGAATTGGGCGAACTTACGTATAAAAAAAAAAATTAAACATGGGAAATAAGGATAATAATGAAGATCGCCCTATAAATTCCCTGTAAATTATAGAGTCACATCCACCCCACGGAATGCTGCTGTTTAGAATAGCAAGTGAGATTTATGAGGTGTAATTGTGAACTGCATGCTCAATCGATTTTCCATTCGGAGTGGCTATTCATTACAAAAGTCTCATATACAAGTCCTTTTAAAAGAAGTTAAAAGTAGTGAATTCTTATGCAATTAAGAAAACTTATTACACACATATTTTACGTCAGTGAATGTAATTGATCCCCTGATTCCTCACTCGGAGACGATAGCCGCCTGCAGCTCAGCCTCAATCTCTATATATAAAAAAAAGTGAGAGGGCACATCGAGGCGGTGTAATGGTTAGCAAGCTTGTCTTTGCTAGCTCAATTTTGACTGAGTAGTGAGTTCGATCCTCACTGGGTGCCCCTCATACTTTCGGCCTCGTGCCACATCTGAGCTACGCTTGGAAAATCACTATATAAAAAGTGAGACATGATTTTTTATTAGTAGTTTTATTTTCACAAAAGGAAATAAAACATTTTGTTAATATTAAATATTCTACTTTATCCCTGATTAGTACACAAAATTTGATTTTCTTTGCAAAATGTTTCTCAATGTTTTAGTTTGATATTTGATAAGAGATTTTTATCAATGATTATATATATCAATTACAATGTCTATCTATCTATCTATCTATCTATCTATCTATCTGTCTCTCTCTCTCTCTCTCTCTATCTATCTATATATATATATATATATATATATTATATATATATTTAAATAAAGTTAAATAAATGCACATTTCAATTACCGATACCCACTGATACATTTATAATATCCTTGCTTTTTTCTCCTTCTTTTCTTCTTCTTCTTCTTCTTCTTCTTCTTCTTCTTTCTTCGAATCCTCCTCCTCCTCCCTATCTATCACGCCCATCGCCGTGCGTTTGTTTATTTTAAAAAATAATATCGCTTTCATTGTTTTTCATTTTTTTTTTTTTTTTTTTTAAATAAAGCGTTGCAAGTTCAATTGATAAAAATCGCATGAGGATACCGTAAGGATGAAACCAAAGTAAGTGAAATCAAAGCTAAAAGCACCACATGTTATTTCTGTTTATTTATTTTTTTCACACGTGTATTGAGTACTTTTTAATACTAATGTTCCCTGCTCCAATTCAACCCTGACCATTAACTTTTTATACATCATATATATATATATATATATATATATATATATATATATATATATATATATATATATATATATATCGTCCTGACGATTGCGTCTAGCATGAACCAGCCTGTCGGCTCTGAGCGTTGACTTCAATGTTCACTTTCATATTTATATTTACATACGCTCTTTTTTCTGATATTGAGCTCTTTATCCAATAAATATAGCACACTTCAAAACTATATATATATATATATATATATATATATATATATATATATATATTCAAGGGTGGCTGGAAGCATGTCTGATCCAGACACTTCCCAAAATCAGTATCCTTATACAGTGTAACCCGGATATAAGAGACCCGAATATAAGAGAAACCCGGATATAAGAGAGATTTTCTCTGGTCCCAAATTAGAGCCTGTGTTAATGTATATAAATTAGACCCGGATATAAGAGACCCGGATATAAGAGAAACCCGGATATAAGAGAGATTTTCTCTGGTCCCAAAATTAGAGCCTGTCTTAATGTATATAAATTAGACCCGGATATAAGAGACCCTGATATAAGAGAAACCCGGATATAAGAGAGATTTTCTCTGGTCCCAAAATTAGAGCCTGTGTTAATGTATATAAATTAGACCCGGATATAAGAGACCCGGATATAAGAGAAACCCGGATATAAGAGAGATTTTCTCTGGTCCCAAATTAGAGCCTGTGTTAATGTATATAAATTAGACCCGGATATAAGAGAAACCCGGATATAAGAGAGATTTTCTCTGGTCCCAAATTAGAGTCTGTGTTAATGTATATAAATTAGACCCGGATATAAGAGACCCGGATATAAGAGAAACCCGGATATAAGAGACTTCTTCTCCGGTCCCGACAACTCTCTTATATCCGGGTTACGCTGTATTTGATTTTTTGCATATTGATTTGGGGACGTGAATGGGACGGAGAAATTTTCAAAAGCCTTTTTGTGAATATTACAGATTAGTTTCTTGAGAAGTTGATATGTAAACAGACATCGATTTATAATGTCCCTTAAGTTGAGCATTGTTTTATTCAGACCAGTGTTTTGGCTGCCCTAAACCCCTATTCCCTATGGTCGTTCTTCATATGGTATAATCTTCCGGGAACAGGACCCTGCGTATAATCCCCTGCAATATCATGGTTTTCCAATTTTATGTCTTAAGTGTGCGAATTTTAGACATGGTACAGAATTCCGCTCAACTTTTAGCCGAATTCGGGTCTCACTTCAACGCGTTGGCATTGTTGGGCTACCATACTGAGTTATATACTAGTGTATAAGCCGACTTCATCTATAGTGCGAGTCTTGAATTTTATGCATGAATTTTTACATCTCTAGAAAAAATTACCTGTGTATAGTGAAACTGGTCACGGAAAATACATGATTTTTAACCACTTTAAGAATAAATTATCTATATATTATGTGACCTTCTATTTTGTGCAAAGACAGCTAATCTTAAAAAAAAACTCGTAGCATACTCGATGGCACTTCTTGGCAATCGGGGATTATTTATGGTGAACGAAATTTGAAATAAAAAGTGTTAGGTCCGAACGAAATGCTATTTTAATATCAATTTTTATTAAATATAATAATAGAGAAATTATCAGGTCAGTAAACAATGAAATTATTACTGATCAGTTCGATAACAAACTATCTGTATACAGATAGAGAATAAATTGACCAAGTACACAAAAATCGAAAAGGGCAAAAGACAACAATACGTTTTCTCACCGGATTTATCTAACCTATACAACACGGTGACTGTAGAAGGAAAAATCTTATAAAGATTAATTATTGGTGGACACAATCTTAACCAAAAATATGTACTAACATAATAAAACCGTCCATAACGACTGAGTAGTGAGTTCGATCTTCATTTGGTGTTCCATACTTACGGCTTTGTAAGACACCTATATTTAGCTTGTTAGCCGAGTGTCAGATGAGATATATTTATCATATGTTCTGGTGAACTTTGCTCTATGGCACCTAGACTTTATGAATTTTCACTGCTAGATTAGTAAAATGGTCTCATAATTTTACACGCGAAATGTCTAGATGCAACCCTAAGTCTTTTGCTAGCAGTTTCGTCTCTGACACTTCCTGCTTTTGAACTCTGTTTCCGGCTCATGCATTCCAGCCAAATTTGATATTCAAAAACGTTAATGCAATGTCAATCGTTATCTACTCTTTATTGAGTCTCCTTTTATTGTTCTCGCTTCTTAATAATGCTTCTCTTTTTCCTATTCTTTCACACACTGTAATCCCTTGTGTCTTAGTCACTTTATTGACCTGCTTCGGGTGAAATGATTAAAAGAAGTATTATTCTAAAGGCCTCAGCCTGAATTATAAGCGAGGCTGGTCTCATTGACGATCGTGACTTGAGAGTGAGTTAGTTATCCACTGAATGTCTAATCTAAACTAACCTTCGACATTACATAAACTAACAACAGTTGACATAGAGGAAAAACAATCAATCGAATATTTTATTTGGGCGTGTAAGATTTTATTAGGCAATTCCAGCTTTGTTCATCATTTAAATAAATATTTATATAATGGTATAGTTTTATGGACATTTATCTTTTCACTTTCAGATGAAGAAAGATTGCCATGAGTCGACAGAAAAAAAAATAACAGAAGCAAAATATTGTCAAGTTATTGAGTAACGGAAAGAAAATATTAAAAATTACGAATAAAATTGCAGAGAATTATAACATTCTGAATGAGGCGTTTTGATTCGCCTTTGGCAACGCCCACCTAACCCGAGAGTTTCCGAAACAAACAAAATTAATAGAATGAGCCATAGCCCCGTCATCATTCCAGATATTACAATAGAAAAACAGTCGTCTATCATTAAAAGAGATTTATATAATAATGGAAAACAATATTCAATTAAGGATCTTTGAATTTCTTGTCTGGGTTCATTTCCTCCTCCTATCATTTCTTTCATGAAAATTTCATTAAAATTTCAATTATATATATATATATATATATATATATATATATATATATATATATATATATATATATATATGTGTGGGGGGTGTATAATTAAAAATTCCAAATTTTAATTAAACGTTCAGAGAGATAACATTAGAAAGTTTTAGAGTTCCATGAAAATAAGTGGATACTACGTTTAAAAACACACTATCCAGCCGAGCTAAACCATAAATTTAACAATATATAGATAGTACCACTATATAACCCAACAAATCAAAACCTAGCCACATTTCTCACCCAGACAAGAGAGACATGCTTACAGAGGTGTTGAGGCCTCACACTTATACACACACCCACACGAATATACACACTTACACATATCATACTCACTCTCTCCGTAAGAACCAAATAACACACACACACACACACACACACACACATTTAACA